CAGCACCGACCCCAGCACCTACGCCAGCACCAACGCCAGCGCCCACGCCCGCACCGACCCCAGCACCTACCCTAGCGCCCACGCCTGCACCAACGCCCGCGCCCACGCCCGCGCCGACGCCTGCACCAACGCCCGCGCCGACGCCAGCACCGACCCAAGCACCTACGCCAGCACCAACGCCAGCGCCCACGCCCGCACCGACCCCAGCACCTACCCTAGCGCCCACGCCTGCACCAACGCCGGCGCCCACGCCCGCGCCGACGCCTGCACCAAGCCCGGCCGACGCCCAGCACAGACAAAGCACATACGCCCAGCACCAACGCAGCGCTCACGCCGCACCGACCCCAGCACCTACCTAGCGCCCACGCCTGCACCAACGCGGGCCCACGCGCGACGCGCCGACGCCTGCACCAACGCCGACGCCAGCACCGACCCCAGCACCTACGCCAGCACCAACGCCAGCGCCCACGCCCGCACCGACCCCAGCACCTACGCCCGTGCCGACGCTGGCACCGTCTCTGGCGCCTACGCCTGCACCAACGCAGGACCCCGCTACAGCACCTACCCTGGCGCCCACGCCTGCACCAACGCCGGCGTCCACGCCCGCGCCGACGCCTGCACCAACGCCCGCGCCGACGCCAGCACCGACCCCAGCACCTACGCCAGCACCAACGCCAGCGCCCACGCCCGCACCGACCCCAGCACCTACGCCCGTGCCGACGCTGGCACCGTCTCTGGCGCCTACGCCTGCACCAACGCAGGACCCCGCTACAGCACCTACCCTGGCGCCCACGCCTGCACCAACGCCGGCGTCCACGCCCGCGCCGACGCCTGCACCAACGCCCGCGCCGACGCCAGCACCGACCCCAGTACCTACGCCAGCACTAACGCCAGCGCCCACGCCCGCACCGACCCCAGCACCTACCCTAGCGCCCACGCCTGCACCAACGCTGGCGCCCACGCCCGCGCCAGCACCGACCCCAGCACCTACGCCAGCACCAACGCCAGCGCCCACGCCCGCACCGACCCCAGCACCTACCCTAGCGCCCACGCCTGCACCAACGCCGGCGCCCACGCCCGCGCCGACGCCTGCACCAACGCCCGCGCCGACGCCAGCACCGACCCCAGCACCTACGCCAGCACCAACGCCAGCGCCCACGCCCGCACCGACCCTAGCACCTACCCTAGCGCCAACGCCTGCACCAACGCCCGCGCCCACGCCCGCGCCGACGCCTGCACCAACGCCCGCGCCGACGCCAGCACCGACCCAAGCACCTACGCCAGCACCAACGCCAGCGCCCACGCCCGCAAACGACCCCAGCACCTACCCTAGCGCCCACGCCTGCACCAACGCCAGCGCCCACGCCCGCGCCGACGCCTGCACCAACGCCCGCGCCGACGCCAGCACCGACCCAGCACCTACGCCAGCACCAACGCCAGCGCCCACGCCCGCACCGACCCCAGCACCTACCCTAGCGCCCACGCCTGCACCAACGCGGCGCCCACGCCCGCGCCGACGCCTGCACCAACGCCCGCGCCGACGCCAGCACCGACCCCAGCACCTACGCCAGCACAACGCCAGCGCCCACGCCCGCACCGACCCCAGCACCTACCCTAGCGCCCACGCCTGCACCAACGCCAGCGCCCACGCCCGCGCCGACGCCTGCACCAACGCCCGCGCCGACCGCACCCCAGCACCTACGCCAGCACCAACGCCAGCGCCCACGCCCGCAACGACACCAGCACCTACCCTAGCGCCCACGCCTGCACCAACGCCGGCGCCCACGCCCGCGCCGACGCCTGCACCAACGCCCGCGCCGACGCCAGCACCGACCCCAGCACCTACGCCAGCACCTACGCCCGCGCCCACGCCCGCACCGACCCCAGCACCGACCCCAGCACCTGCGCCAGCACCCACGCCAGCGCCTACGCCCGCACCGACCCCAGCACCTACCCTAGCGCCCACGCCTGCACCAACGCCGGTGCCCACGCCCGCGCCGACGCCTGCACCAACGCCCGCGCCGACAGCGACCAGCGGCACAACGTTTAGCAGCACGTCCAGGACCAGCAGCTCATCTGTCACTTCCGCGAGTGAGACCAGCAGCTCCACTGTGAGCACCATGACCGTGACCAGCAGCTCGTCTGTGACTTCCACGAGTGGGACGTCTAGTATGACGAGCACCATGTCCTTAAGTAGCACGTCCAGGACCAGCAGCACGACGCTGAGCACTGGAACGTGGACCAGCAGTACCAGTCGAACTTCCTCGAGTGTGACGAACAGTGGGACTAGCACCATGTCTTTGAGTAGCGCGACGGTCTCAAGTAGCACAACGCTGAGCAGCGCGACGTGGACCAGCAGTCGCAGTCTCACGTCCAAGAGTGAGACGAGCAGTGGGACGAGCGCTACTGTCACTTCCACAAGCGGGACAAGCAGCACGAGCGGCAGCAGCAGCACAAGCTGGAGCAGCATCACTGCGAGCAGCAGCACCACGTTGTCATCTCCGAGTGTGACCAGTAGTCGTACGAGCACGACGTCGTTTAGCAGTACGACGGCGACCAGCAGCAGAACGTTCAGCAGCACGACCAGGACCAGCAGTACTAGCCCCACATCCACGAGTGAGACGAGCAGTGGGACGAGCGCTACTGTCACTTCCACAAGCGGGACAAGCAGCACGACTTTCAGCAGCAGCACCAGCTGGAGCAGCACGACTGCGAGCAGTAGCACCACGTTATCGTCTTCAAGTGTGACGCGCAGTGGTACGAGCACGACGGCGACCAGCAGCACGACAGGGACCAGCGGCACAACGTTTAGCAGCACGTCCAGGACCAGCAGCTCATCTGTCACTTCCGCGAGTGAGACCAGCAGCTCCACTGTGAGCACCATGACCGTGACCAGCAGCTCGTCTGTGACTTCCACGAGTGGGACGTCTAGTATGACGAGCACCATGTCCTTAAGTAGCACGTCCAGGACCAGCAGCACGACGCTGAGCACTGGAACGTGGACCAGCAGTACCAGTCGAACTTCCCGGAGTGTGACGAACAGTGGGACTAGCACCATGTCTTTGAGTAGCGCGACGGTCTCAAGTAGCACAACGCTGAGCAGCGCGACGTGGACCAGCAGTCGCAGTCTCACGTCCAAGAGTGAGACGAGCAGTGGGACGAGCGCTACTGTCACTTCCACAAGCGGGACAAGCAGCACGACCTTCAGCAGCAGCACCAGCTGGAGCAGCACGACTGCGAGCAGTAGCACCACGTTGTCGTCTTCAAGTGTGACGCGCAGTGGTACGAGCACGACGGCGACCAGCAGCACGTCAGGGACCAGCGGCACAACGTTGAGCAGCACGTCCAGGACCAGCAGCTCATCTGTCACTTCCGCGAGTGAGACCAGCAGTGGAACGAGCACCACGTTTACTTCTACAAGCGATTCCTCCAGCACAACTACGCCGAGCAGCACGACTGCGGCAAGCAGCACTGCGTCGTCGACGAGCACGATTACGAGCAGTGGTACGAGCTTCACGTTTTCCAGCAGCACGACAGCGACCAGCAGCACCACGTTCAGCACCACCACCCGGACCAGCAGCACAACCCTCAGTGCCACGAGTCCGACTAGCAGTGGGACAAGCATTAGTCGTACTTCCACGAGTGGGACCAGCAGCACAACCGCTAGCACGAGTACGACACTGAGCAGCACGATTTCGATCAGCAGCACTGCGTCATTGACAAGCACCATGACAGGGAGTGGTACGAGTACGACGTCGTTTAGCAATACGACGGCGACCAGCAGCACAACGTTCAGCAGGACGACTGGGACCAGCAGCACAACCCTCAGCACAGCGAGTCAGACGAGCAGTGGGACACGCACTACTGTCACTTCCGCAAGCGGGACAAGTAGCACGACCTTCAGCAGCAGCACGACTGCGAGCAGCCGCACCACGCTGTCGTCTTTAAGTGTGACGAGCAGTGATACGAGCTCGACGTCGTCTAGCAGCACAACGGTCAGCAGCACCACGATGTCGATCACAAGCATCAGTGTGACGTCCACGAGTGACACGAACAGCGGGACCAGCAGCACGACGAGGTCTACCACCACAGCGTCGAGCAGCATATCAGAAACCAGCAGTACCACTTTCAGCTCTACAAGTGCAACGGCCAGTGAGACGAGTACAACATCTTTGAGCAGCACGACAAGGACTAGCAGCTCGTCCGTGAGTCGCACCACAGCCAGTAGCATTACCACTCCGACATCTACGAGTGCGACGAGCAGTGCGACGATCACGACGTCTTTGAGCAGCACGACCGCCACAAGCAGTGCGACACAGAGTAGCAGTTTCAGCCGAAGTACCAGAAGTGAGACGATGAGTGGAACAAGCACAATGACGCTAAGTAGCGCCACGGGGACCAGCAGTGCGACAGTTAGCAGCACAACAGATTCCAGTAGCTTCACTCTGTCTTCCACAAGTGCTTCGAGCAGTTCAACACGCAGTACGTTGAGCAGCATGACGGAGAGTTCGACAACCACTGTCATTACCATCTCGTCGCTAACTTCCACGAGCATGACCAGCAGCAGCACATTTTCCAGCACCACTGGCACCAGCAGCGCCACCACCACTAGCGCCACGAGCAGCACCCTGACTCTTTCTTCATCTACCACACCCACGGGGACAAGCTCGGCCTCGACGACATCGGGCACGCGCTCCAGCACCACGTCTGAGACGACTTCCTCTACCACAACTGTACAAGTCGTCAACACCATATCGGGCACGATGAGCTTGTCCGTCTCCGACCCCGAGGCCTTCGTTGGCGACGCAGCCGCTGCAGCGGCCGTGACAGGCGGCATCGCCGACATGGTGGGTGTGCCAGCCAGCCAGGTGACCGTGACCCTCAGCCTCACGACCTCCGTGCAGGTGAGTTACGCTATCACGACCTTCGGCGGGCCGGGCACATCCGGCTCGGCCATTTCGGACATAACCTCCGCGCTGACCGCCTCGGACGCCGCGTCCACCATGCAGGGCCTCACCGTGGCCAACCTGGGCAGCTTGGGCGTGAACTACGCCGTGGCAGTGGAGGCTCTCAGCGCTCCTGCGGTCGACAGCATCACGCTCACGGTAACAAGGACGACAACCACGGCGACAACCACCACTGCCAGTTCTACCACCGCCAGCTCCACCACTGCCAGCTCCACCTCAACCACATTGACCACCTCCACAAGCACCACCATCACGAGCTCTACCACCCCGACTTCCATCACGACCACGACGACGACCACGATTGGTATTGAGATGCCTGCGGTAGACCCGCTACCGTGACAGCCCAGCATCGAAGTGTATTCGGGACGGTTCCGTCAAGTCCCCCCGAAAGGCTCAGTGAAACCAGCTCGGGAAACTGGGAAGTAGCGCCACGATGCTATGACCTCAACGTTGCATTGGTTGTGTTGCGGGCTCTTCGGGATCTCTTGGGGGCCTGTTTGGAGCATCCTGGGACTCACGCAGCACTCTGCGCAGCGGCAGGACGAAGGCCTCTCAGCGAGAGGGCTATCAAGAGACATCAGAGTGAGGGGGCCGAACGGTCATTCACTGTTCCTTGGTGAGGATTCTGCTTGTTGCGTTGTTGCGTTGTTGTTGTTTGCTGTCGTCATCCCACCCGCCACCCACCCCGCGACCCACCCCGCGACCCACCAGCGACCGCACCCGCAACCCACCCGCGACCCAACCCGCGACCCACCGCGCAACCCATCGCGCAACCCACCCGCAACCCACCCGCGACCCAATAGCGACCCACCCGCGACCCACCAGCGACCGACCCACATTGATTTGAAGAAAAAATCGGCGCCTGGGGCCTGCGGCGGGCTCGTCATATAATTTGTGAAACTTTGGCGCGTGCGGCGGGCTTCTCCAGAGTCTCGCAGACTACCGACGCCCCCACCGCCCCCATCACTATTATAGTTTTTTTTGCGGGGTGCTACGCACCGCGATTGTTCCACCACCACCACCACCACCTCCTCTCGACGCAGGGTCTCGTGTGCCTGTGAGGGGACCGCCATGGCTTCCGGAGCCGGCATGCAGACCGCACCACCACACCGCACCTTTACCCCTAGTCCGATGTCTCCCGGCCGCGTGGTGCTGGATAGCAATATGGCCGGAGGAGTGGCCACGGCCGCGCCCGCCCTGCAACTCGCGCCTCAGGTGATGCAGAACACGGCAGAGCACGACACCCACGTCGCGTGGAGCCCCGCATCGCCCTGCGACACTCGCGGCGGCGGAGGCAGGAGGTGGCTGAGGCGCAGCAGTGCGCATTGCGCTCGACACTTAAGAATTGCATCGGAGAGCTCGGGAGGGAGCTTGAGGCTACCACGAAGGAGCTCGACCGCGTCGGCCTTTCGCCTTTCGCAGCAGGCAGTGGGCGAACTCGGTGGAAGGGCCCACGAGGGTGCGGACATCCAGACCCAGACAGACAGACTTCTAATTCCGACATTTCGAGGTCAGTAAGTTGGACAACGGCTACTTGCCGGACCGCGGGCAGGACTATTTCGGACAGTTGGGCACTGACCAGACGGACAGTCCAGAGGGCGGCATCGGTGGGCAGGGATTTGACCTTGAGGAGGACGGGATCAGCGTTCCAATTGGCATGCAGTGCAGCGACTTCAACGAGGACGGCACTGACGACCAATGCATCGACGTGCACGGCGGCGATTTCCTCCTCAAGGACGGCATCGGCGTGCAGGACGGCAGCTCAAAAGCGGACGTGGTCGTCACGCAAGGTGCCCGCGTGCAGGGATACGACTCGACGATGGCTACATCAACGACCAGGGCATCGCAGTGGAGGGCGGCGACCTCGTCGAGAATGGCATCGGCGCGCAACGCGACCACCTCATGGATGACGGCATCGGCGCGTAGGGCGGTGACCTCAGCGAGGACCGTGCCGACGCACAGGTCATCGACGCGCAGGTCTTCGACCTCATAGATGGTGGCATCGGAGTGCAGGGAGGCGGCCCCGAGGGGGACAGGATCGACGTTCAGGGCATCAGGGCATCATCGACAACGGCATCGACGCGCTTGTCGGCGACGTTCTCAAGCACGGCATCGGCACGCAGGGCTGCGTCGTCAGCGAGGACGGGGCCGACGCGCAGCGCGACGAAAGCATCGAGGTCCACATCGATGACCAAGACAACGGCGTCCAAAGCGGTTACACCGTCGAGACCGGCACGGGGGGAGCGACCTCGATTGCGACGCGCGGGCCATCGGCGCGTTGGGCGTCGTCCTTACAGTCAGAACGGGGCATGAGAGCGAGGTCCTCTCGGGGACGGTGCTCCAATGTTTTTCGCGTTTGTTGCGTGTGCTCGTGCATGCTGGGGAAGGGAACCCTCGAATGATCGCAAGGTTTGGGTTGTTTTGGCTGGCGGCGGGTCTCATTCCCCCACCCGGCTTGCCCAAGAGGCTCTGACTTTGTTGCAAGGTTGGCGCCTACGGCCAGGCAGCGCGGGGCAGCGCCAGCGCAACCAGCAGCAGCACCAGAGTGGCCGACCGGGGGCCGCGTCTGCAGCACCACGCGCAGGAGCGCCAGTGCAACCAGCAGCACCAGCGCCAGAGACGCACGCCAAGCGATGCCCAGGGCGCGCGCAGCGCCCGCGCTACCAGCAGCACCACCACGATCACCCAGGAGCCCCGGGGAGCGCAGGCGCAGTTGCAGCAGCAGCAGCAGCGTCACCATCTGCAGCAGATGCGCCCGCAGCAGCTCCAGCGCAGCCAGCGACGCCAGCGCCAGAGCCAAAGCCGCGCGCCAAGCGATGCCTGGGGCGCCCGCAGCGCCTGCGCAACCGGCAGCAACACCATGACCATCCAGGAGGCGAGGAGGCGTAGGCGCAGCAGCAGCAGCGCTAACAGATGCAGCACATGCATCCGCGGCAGCAGCAAACGCCGCAGACGCAGCATCGGCGCCGCAGATGCAACCATCACCAAATGCAGCTGCCAGCAGCAGCAGCAGCATCAGCAGCAGCAGCCGCAGCAGCCGCAAGAGGCGCAGGCGCGGCAGGCGCAGCGGCCGCCTCCGTCGAGGGCTCGGGCGCGGAGGTCAGCCCCTTGCGGGGCCGCACTGGCGGCCGTCTCCAGGCCCGCACCTGCCGCGCCTGGATCGGCGGCTGCAGCGGCGGGAGATGGACATCGTCGCGTTCGCGCGGCTGGTCGCCGGAGGCGCCGAGCGGAGGCGACGCGGCGCCCTCGGCGAACTGTCGGGCGAGCGCGACGACGTCCCGCGGCTCAGCACTGCAGAACAGGAGCGCGCCACAATCATCCCATCATCTCCGCCCGTGCCCCATCCCGCCCGTCGCCCCCGCCAGCAATGCCACCATCCGCCAATGCGCCCCCTCTGCCCCCCCCCCCCGCTGCTGGGGCAGCCCTGAAAACGAAATCGAGCCGCGGCCGCGCGCGTCTGGGGGCGGGCGGCTCCGCGCCGCAGTGCAAGTCTAAGTCATCGCGGCCGATATGCGACTCGATATTGCCCGCGCGGCCCGCGGCTGCATTCGCGCGGAGATCGCGGCCGGAACGCGCCGGAGCAGGCGCGCGGCCCAACGACCCAGCGCCCATTCCAGCGAGCCTTCGCGTGGATCGCTGGCGCTGCTGCTGGCAGCAGAAAGCGCCCCGGCGCGGATCGCGCGGGGGCCGCGACTAGACCTGGGCGGGTGGATCTCGAAATGCGCCGAGGCCCCCCAGGGCCCCTGCGCCCGGCCGCCAATTT